ACACACACATAAACCAGCTTAGAGGCTTCCAACTTGCAATGTTGCCCTACTGTGTTGCATCGCCCTTATGTATGTGTGTGAATGTGTCAGTCTTTCCCACGAGCTGTCCTCACTGACCACCCTACCCCTCCCCTTCCCTCCTATTACAGATGCGGCAATTACTACCCATCCTGCCACCATCCCTCAGTTGCCGTCTACTGTTGTCGGCGTGGTGACCACAGGAGGCGTGGTGACCACAGGAGGCCCTAGCGACCGTGGGTATGATGGTGGGGTATTGTTGTGCCGTGAGGGAGGGGGAAGGGAGGGGGTATGAAGGATGGGTCAGGGGTAAAGGGGAGTGGGGGGTGAGTAAGGAGGTGACACAATTACAAGGGATGGACAAGCCCTGATCTCTACCACTGGGATAAAGGACCTAGAGAAGGGGTTAACTAAGGGGAGGGGTGAGGAGGTAGAAAAAAGGGAGCTGTAAATAGTAAGGGTGAGGGAGAATAGACGAGAGAGAGAGAGAGAGAGAGAGAGAGGGGGGAGGGAGCGGAAAAAGTAAGGGCTAGGGAGAGAATAAAGAGAATAGACACGAGAGAGGGAGAGGAGGAGAGAGAGAAAGGTATGAGACGGTGAGAAGAAACTAGGTGACACAATTACCCTGGGTGGACTAGGTGGCTCTGACCTACACCAATGACTCGACAGCAGCGGGACAACTCACTCTCACCGACAAAACACCTTTCTTTTTTATACCCGGGTCACATACCGGGTGTTTAGTGGACATGGTGGGGAGAATACCCACCCAGGCTATGCAGGACACGGGGGAGGCTACCCATGCAGGCTATGCAGGACACGGGGGAGAGAGCCTATACCCATGCAGGCTATGCAGGACACGGGGAGAGAGAGGGAGAGGGGGCTGCCAATACCCACCCAGGCTAGGTAGGACACGGGTATACGTTTAGAATCCACCCAAACGTAATTCAAACAAACACACACACACACACACACACACCTCACTACTGCCATTATGAAGACACAAGTATATAGTTTCAACGTTACGTCAATAATAACTTTCTCTCCTGTGGGTCATTAACGGGGTTTACCTGGAGTTTACCTGAGGAGGGTTTAAAGGGTCTGTCTCTGTAATCTAATCTCAGTTTGATCGATTTAAAGCAACCTAACCTAACCTAACCTAACCTAACCTAACCTAGCCTAGCCTAACCTAACCTAACCTAACCTTAATCTCAGACTGGTCAACCAAATCTTTGATATAATTAACCAAATCTTCACCTAATAATGATCACAGTGTCTGAGGTTACAGTGTCCAAGGTTACAATGTCCAAGGTTACAATGTCCAAGGTTACAGTGACCAAGGTTACAATGTCCAAGGTTACAGTGTCCAAGGTTACAATGTCCAAGGTTACAATGTCCAAGGTTACAATGTCCAAGGTTACAATGTCCAAGGTTACAATGTCCGAGGCAACCAGTGAGTGTGGGAGACCTGAGGCAATAGGACCGCTTGATAAGCCTCACTGGTGGCGGCCGAGACTCGCTCCATCCACCATAAGTCCCGTACATTTTCGTTTATTTACATACAAATGCTGAGGCAGACATGAGCAATACCTTGACAAAAACACTCCGGGTGACCATATAGGCAGAGGGAGGGAGGTAGGAGAGGGAGGAGAGGTAGGGAGGGAGGAGAGGTAGGGAGGGAGGAGAGGTAGGTAGGGAGGAGAGGTAGGTAGGGAGGCGGGAAGGGGTCCTATAGCCATGTTGTGAGGCCCCCCTTACATCACCCCCGCTGTAAACACTAACAACACACAGACACAACACCAACAACTGTCTGTAGCCCTCAGCCTCCTCCCTGTGTCTCTACCACACCACCAGAGGCCGCTACCACCACCACCACCACCACCACAAAAAGTTCACACGCTACCACAATGCCCCGCGCTGACCGTTACTTGACTCTCCTCCTTCTCCTCCTCCTTCACCTACTCCTCCTTCTTCTCTTCCTACTCCAACTCCTACTTCATCTTGTTATTATTACTGGAAACTGAATGGTGGTGATGATGATAAAATTCGGTGCCGTTAAGAGAGTCACGTCTAGAGCGAGCAGGCAACTCGATACTGCAGAAGGCGGTGAGGAAGGTTCTACACCGTTAGTTGACTCTTGCCTACACACGATGCTCTCAATGGGTCTTCCTCCTCCCCCCCCCTTCCTCCTCCTGACGTAACTTACTTTCTCGTGACGTAACTTACTTTCTCGTGGCGTGACTTCCTCCTCCTCCTCCTACTAGAACATACCACCCCCCACACAAAACAACAATAATCTCATCTTTGATTTGTGGGGAGTTAATGAACCTCTTTGGGTGCGTAAACAAGCTCTATACTCGCCACTCCTGACTGACAGTGTCTTTCGTGAGTGAGGGAGAGTTGTGGATACGACAGTAGAGAGAAGTGAAGTCTATTTGCATTCTGATTGATTGACTTGACTGATTGACCCATTGAGAGATAAGACCACACCTGTGCGTGGGGGGTAAATGGAGTGGCGTGGGAGGGCGTGGGGGTAAATGGAGTGGCGTGGGAGGGCGTGGGGGTGGAGGTGTGGGGGTGTCTTGGGGCTACAGTAACTGAACCTCCTCCGAGAAAATGTGTCGTAGCAGGACACACACACACACACACACACACACACACACACACACACACACACACTGTCACTATGTTGAAATGCCCTGTAGTTTGAGCTTTTCCTCATCTAGTTATTATATATCTTATTTATATCGCTTATGTTATTTGTATATTATTTGTAATTCGAAACCCATTCCCCAATTATGTAACTGTATATTTTCAGCCTTCTGGCTCATAGGCTCTTTCAATGAACCGTTAATTATTATTATTATTATTATTATTATTATTATTATTATTACACACACACACATAATATCACTTCTTTTGTGTGTGGTGATCTTACGGAAGCCCATACTTTTAGAAGCTTGACCTGGAAGCCTCCACCACACCTCGAGAAGCCTCCACCAGGTCATCTATCATGTCCTCCCCCACTGGCCAGGATGACCACCACTGCACCACCTGGGCGCCGCCATACACATCACAAGGCTCCCAGCAACACATTGCTGTGAAAGAGTTGGCCCAGGTGCAGGGTCCCAGGCCAGCCCTGCTGACCACTGTGAGGGTCCTAGGCCCAGTTGACCCCTGTCCACTGTTGGAGAGGGGGAGGTCCCTATAGGCTCAGCTGACCGCTGTTGGAGGAGGGGGGAGTTTCCTATAGACACAGCTCACCGCTGTTGGAGGGAGTGATGGAGGGAGGGAGGAATAGACGTGTATTGGGTGACGAGGCCAGTGTCCAATGTTGGAGGGAGGGAAGGTCTTATGCAAAGCTGACCTCTGTCCGCTGTTGGAGGTAGAAGGAGAGGACGTGTCTCTTCGATGAGGTGGCCAGTGTCCAGTCACACAAAAAATACAGTGAAGGGCACCACACTGCACCGGGCAGGACCCAGGCTACACCCGTTAGCCAAACTGGTCGACACACAGTGTAAGGCGACACACACCCTGATGAATGACGCTGCTCTACACATCCTCACCGCTTATACTATGATGAATGGTGTGAATATTTGCCGGGTACTCTACGTCACCTTTTATAACCACGGTGAGATCTCCAGCCTATACATAACACGCAAAACACACGGACGATTCCCGTGACTCAACCGAACACCTTAACTACTGGGAACACTTCACACCACCGAACGTATACTGCTGGCAAAATTGACACGGCAGAGACACCATAACACGTATAAAAAAAATATACCCGTATAGATAAACTAGCCAACGTAAATAGCAAGCATGAAAGGTGTGTGATATACGGTAATAAGAGATGACCACAAGTACAGTTAGTGAAGTTAAGAACACAGCTTAATATCCAAGGCCCTTTAATACATGACACGTTAGCTGAGTAACTAGTGGAAGGTGTTCAAGAGGGGAAGTGAACAGTCTCTTCACAAGGCTGTGTCATGTTGGCTCGTGATGGTGACGGTATGGGTGATGGCAGTGACGGTATGGGTGATGGTAGTGACGGTATGGGTGATGGTAGTGACAGTATGGATGGTAATGACGGTATGGGTGATGGCAGTGACAGTATGGGTGATGGTGACAGTATGGGTGATGACAGTGACGGTATGGGTGTGGTGACGGTATGGGTGATGGTAGTGACGGTATGGTGATGGCAGTGACGGTATGGGTGATGGCAGTGACGGTATGGGTGATGGTAGTGACGGTATGGGTGATGACAGTGACTGTATGGGTGATGGTAATGACGGTATGGGTGATGGTAGTGACGGTATGGGTGATGGTAGTGACGGTATGGGTGATGCTTGGTGGTATGGGTGATGGCAGTGACGGTATGGGTGATGGCAGTGACAGTATGGGTGATGGTAGTGACGGTATGGGTGATGGTAGTGACGGTATGGGTGATGGCAGTGACGGTATGGGTGATGGCAGTGACGGTATGGGTGATGGTAGTGACGGTATGGGTGATGACAGTGACGGTATGGGTGATGGCGGTGACGGTATGGGTGATGGCAGTGACAGTATGGGTGATGGCGGTGACGGTATGGGTGATGGCAGTGACGGTATGGGTGATGGTAGTGACGGTATGGGTGATGGCAGTGACGGTATGGGTGATGACAGTGACGGTATGGGTGATGACAGTGACGGTATGGGTGATGGCAGTGACAGTATGGGTGATGGTACTGACGGTATGGGTGATGACGTGACAGTATGGGTGATGGCAGTGACGGTATGGGTGATGGTGACTGACGGTATGGGTGATGGTAGTGACGGTATGGGTGATGGCAGTGACGGTATGGGTGATGGCAGTGACGGTATGGGTGATGGCAGTGACGGTGGGTGATGGCAGTGACGGTATGGGTGATGCGTGACAGTATGGGTGATGGCAGTGACGGTATGGGTGATGGAGTGACGGTATGGGTGATGGTAGTGACGGTATGGGTGATGGCAGTGACGGTATGGGTGATGACAGTGACGGTATGGGTGATGGCAGTGACGGTATGGGTGATGGCAGTGACAGTATGGGTGATGGTACTGACGGTATGGGTGATGACAGTGACGGTATGGGTGATGGCAGTGACGGTATGGGTGATGACAGTGACAGTATGGGTGATGGCAGTGACGGTATGGGTGATGGTACTGACGGTATGGTGATGACGGTGACGGTATGGGTGATGACAGTGACAGTATGGGTGATGGCAGTGACGGTATGGGTGATGGTAGTGACGGTATGGGTGATGGCAGTGACTGTATGGGTGAAGTAAGGTTACCCAGAAGGCTAATATGTTCATCTTCCTTCTAGCTAACATTTTACCTCCTCCTTCTTCCTTCCTTCCTTCCTTCCTTCCTCCCTTCTTCCCTTCCTTCTAACTAACATCCTCTATCAATAAACACACACACACACACACACACACACACACACACACACAAGCAAAGTGAGAGCTGGCGTGTGTGGGCGTCTGAAGGCGTAAGTAGTAGGCGTGTGGGCGTGGAGGGAGAATGGGTTTGCAAGTGCGCATGGAGTGTGGGCGTGGGTGTGGAGTGTGGGCGTGCGTGTGGAGTTTGGGCGTGACGTGGGTGTAACAGTTGTATATGTATTGAGAGTGACCTTGAATATTGTAGCGCTTAAATATCTACCTTCCCTGTCCTTAACAAACAACAACAACAACAACAACAACAACAACAACAACATTAACAATAACAATAACAATAACAAAAACATTAACAATAACAACAACAACGTCTTTTAATAGCAATCAGAACCCCCCCAAAAAATATCTGACACCACCACAATTGTGACTAGACAAAATGGGACTCGCTAATCTTAATCAAGCAAAAACCACTATCCAATCACAGCCTCACGTGACCGAGCGCTTGTTCACACACACACCAATCATCATCTAATCCTCCAATCACCTTCGGAGGAACCTCATCACAAGAGGTCTCTAACTAGCGCTCAAGTGGTAGGGTTGAATAAGAGGTAGCCAGTTGTCATTTGGAGGAGGAGGAGGGGAGGAGGAGGAGGAGGAGAGGAGGAGGAGGAGGAGGAGGAGGAGGAGGAAGGAGAAGAGGAGGAGAAGCACGAGAGGTGAGAGGGAGGAAGAGGGAGAAAGAAGAGGCGGAGGAGATGGAAGAGGAGGAAGAGGAGGAGGAGTAAGAGGAGGAGGAAAATAAGAGGAAGAAGAAGAGAGGAGGAGGGAGGACCTAACCTAACCCCAAGATATCATCAAGGTGCTTTAATCAACAGGTGAAATAAGACAACGAGGCTCATAGTCAGGTATTCAAGGTATAACTTCACCATCATCCTGGGAGCAGTATAAGGCTCAGTGCACCAGGCCTTATCCTCGAGGAGCAGTATAAAGCTCAGTGCACAGGCTTATCCTCGAGGAGTAGTATAAGGCTCAGTGCACCAGGCCTTATCCTCCGAGTAGTATAAGGCTCAGTGCACCAGGCTTATCTCGAGGTAGTATAAGGCTCAGTGCATCGGGCCTTATCCTCGAGGAAGTAGTATAAGGCTGTGCACGAGTGAGAGACCCAAGACCTGTGCATGAGTGAGGGCCCAAGACCTGTGCAGTGAGAGACCCAAGACCTGTGCATGAGTGAGAGACCAAGACCTGTGCACAGTGAGAGACCCAAGACCAGTGCATAGTGAGAGACCCAAGACCAGTGCACGAGTGAGAGACCCAAGACCTGTGCATGAGTGAGAGACCCAAGACCTGTGCATGAGTGAGAGACCCAAGAACCTTGTGTGCACGAGTGAGGGCCAGACCAGTGCATTGGTGAGAGACCCAAGACTTGAACCTGTGCATGAGTGAGGCCAAGACCTGTGCACATGAGTGAGAGACCCAAGACGCCTGTGCACGAGGTGAGGGCCCAAGACCTGTGCATGAGTGGGGACCCAAGACCTGTGCACGAGTAAGAGACCCAAGACCTGTGCACGAGTGAGAGACCCAAGACCAGTGCACGAGTGAGAGACCCAAGACCTGTGCATGAGTGAGAGACCCAAGACCTGTGCACAACTGAGCCCCCAAGAAGAGTCAATCTTAAACCTTTTAGACACGCACACACCTAAACTCATCGCCTGTGCACATATAAACATCATAACGTGTACACACCCGACCCTTAAGACACGCGCATATCTAAGCTCATCGCCTGTGCACATATAAACCTACATGTGCACATCTGAACCTTTCCCCCCCCCACGGTAACAATAGCCCAACATGGGTCAAAACATGTCCACTATTATTCTGCATTAAACAATATCAGAAACCAAAATATGTGTGTGTGTGTGTGTGTGTGTGTGTGTGTAATAATAATAATAATAATAATAATAATAATAATAATAATAATAATAATAATAATAATAATTAACGGTTTATTGAAAGAGCATGGCGGACGGAAGGCTGAAAATATACAGTTACATAATTGGGGAATGGGTCTCTTGATTTACAAATAATATACAAGTAACATAAGTGATACAAATATGATATATAACAACTAGGTGGGAGAAGCTCAAACCACAGGGCATTACAACATAGTGACAGTGCAAAAGGTAAGATTGACTGGGAGTGAATACACTGGTTGATTTCAAATTATTGATAATTTTTACAATGGTTGGGACTGGGCTGTTCTTATAGCGATCAGTTCGTGCTCGTATGGGCTGGATGCGGTTGTGGTGTCTAACAGCAATTCTCGGGCGAGGGATCTCAGGTGGTAGTATGAGCCGGTGTCGAGGATGGTGCAGAAGCTTCTCACCAAATTTGCAGATGAGGTCGTGGTGATGGTCAGTGAGAGTCGAAAGGGTCAGGGTGTTGAGCGCTTCTTGATATGTGGAGTAGGAAGGGGAGAGAATAATCTTGCATGTCCTCTTTTGCATTTTTTTTAGGTGTTTACGTTGTGTGGCATTTAGGGAGGAAGACCAGGTAGGGGAGGCATAGGTGAGCTTGGGAAGTATGAATGTTGAGTAAACACTGAGGAGCTCGGGTGCAGGAACTCCGAGGGACTTGAGTCGGCGGAGGAGGTGGAGACGGAAACTGGAGGATTTGACAACTTCACTGACGTGTGGTTTCCAATTAAGTTTGTTGTCTATGGTGACGCCGAGGAGCTTAGTGTGTGTGTGTGTGTGTGTGTGTGTGTGTGTGTGTGTCAGCCCAGCATCACCTGCACTTACCCAATGTAATTGTCCTATTGAAGATGTACACGGAGGAGATGATGCAATAACCTGAGGGGAGGGGGGGAGCTCAGGGACACCTCCTTATTGCCATGGGGTGAGTAGGAGGAGGGAGGAGGAGGAAGGACACACACACACACACACACACACACACACACACACACACACACACACACACAACGAGGGTCATGTTAAGTGCACCAACCGGATGTTTAGGATTAACAGCATGACGTTCATTTTCGGTGATCCAGGCGACTGAGGGAGGCTGTGGGGGGGTGGGGAGTGGAGGGAGGTTTTGGGGGAGTGTGGGTGGTGGCTGTGGGGAATGTGGGGGAGGCTGTGGGGAATGTGGGGGAGGATGTGGGAAGTGTGAAGTGAAGCACAGTTGAAACACGTCGATGGAGACCTCAATGCTCATGTAAATACCTAGCCTCTCTCTCTCTCTCTCTCTCTCTCTCTCTCTCTCTCTCCACAATGGCCGACAGAGGTAAAAACAGAAGAGTAGCCACACGACTATTCTTGTAGCCTTTGTACTGGTGAGAAACAATACTCACTAACACAAGAAATCCTTAGTTAAATGAGAAACATTACTTAAACAGGCTTCTAATCTAAATAGGGCCCAGTTTAATGATTAGGTTTAAGACTAGTTGGTGTTTGGGGCCCATTAGGACTAGGGCCCAATAGGACCTGGGGCCCCATCTGACTATTCACAGGACAAATACAACGTCACATCACTCACCGGAAACAACAAGACTTAATCCCACCTCAGTATTGTTAGAGGCATCGTTTCCCATCCCATTCCATACCTATCCCACCCCTTTCACATCCCATCCCATCCTATCCTACCTCCTTCCCATCCCATCCCATCCCCATCCCTTCCCATTCCATCCTATCCCACCCCACCCCATCCCATCCCACCCCCTCCCCATCCTATCCCATCCTTTCCTTTCCCTCCATTACAATAACCAGGATCCTCTCCACCACAGCTTAACCACCCCTTCCATAACAGAGGCCTCCCTTCCCTTACCTGGTGGTGTAGGGTCAAACAAGGAGGTCTGAAGAGCACCTCCACCTCTCCTACCTAGCCTTCCCTCCCATCCCTCCTTCCTTCCCTCATAGTTCCACTTTACTGCCCTCCCTAAAACCTCAAGTTATCTTCTCTTCCTGATACCATAATTTCCCTCCCTCACCTTCAACCTTCCCTCCTTCTTTCTCTCAACCCTTATTCCTTCCCTCCCCTACACTCAACCTTCCTTCCTTCCTTTCCTCACCTCTTCTCTCACACCCCTTCTTCCCTGTCTCCTCACAATAAACCTTCCTTCCTTCCCTTCCTTCCTTCCCTCCCACAACCTTCCTTCCTTCTCTAACTACCACTAACTCTCCTCCCTCACTACACACATTTCAAATACGATATCACCAACATAACCAAGTCTCCCTACACTTCACCATCCACCCCCCTCCCCTTTCTCTCTCTGGATGCCGGCATAAAGTAACTAGGCAGCGGACCACACACACACACACACACAGTAGGACTCTCAGCTCCACATAAAGCACTCACCACCACCCACACACACGCCCATCACGTACACAGGCTCTCAACTCGGGTGCTTCAAGGTGACTCTCTTCAACACGCTCGACTTAACAATGCCAGGGAACATTTTTTGTGTGTGTGTGTTAATTCTTCCGTGGATTAATTTTTACCCTTGACAAGATTAAGAGAAATGATGGTAATTTTAAATGTTTATTGTTATTTGGAAATGGTTGGGATAATTCTACCATATATTGCTAATGGTGTGTGTGTGTGTGTGTGTGAGAGAGAGAGAGAGAGAGAGAGAGAGAGAGAGAGAGAGAGAGAGAGAGAGAGAGAGAGAGATAAGACTTGTTTTAACATAAGAACATAAGAATGGAGGAAATTGCAGCGGGCCTATTGGCCCATACTGGGCAGTCCCATTTACACGCAACCCCTATCGCTCATATATCCATCCAACCTATGTTTGAAGCTATCCAGCGTATTCGAGTTAATGATGGTAAGTTGTTCCAGTCGTCCACTACTCTATTTCCAAACCAATGTTTACCTATTTCGCGCCTAAATCT